TAGCTGATCATTCCCATTATGCTTGCTATTTTTTTTTTCTTGTTGCACGCCCGACAAGTTTTTGTTGAACACTTGTATTGTGAGTTATTTAGCCTCTGGGTTTGGGGGTCTTAATATTTTTGTATTTGTGTAAATATTCCTCAACTTTGGGATGAAGTTGGTCTTGTATTAAGAAGGGTGAGTTTCTCCTAGGGCCAATTTAGTCTACGATGAGCCTTTGGAGAACTCTGCCCAGTGGGCCCTAGTTTATAAGCGTTTCCTCTTGATTATAAAAATAGATGTGGCCCCAGCACTGTAAGCTGCTAGGATCCTTCCTTCCAATCACTCAAGTTTTTCTTTTGTTCGCTCCAGAAATCTTGCTTTCTTTTCCTAAGCAAATTATGATCTTTGCTGTGCTGAATTTTCAAGGGACAGTCACTGTGGGCTTCTAGTCTGCTCTCTAAGTAGTGATCTTCGTCTTGGCACTTTAACCTGTGAATGGTAGAACACTGGTACTTACGGAAAGCCATGAACATTGCGCTAGCAATTATCCAGAAGTTACACTTGAGGCCAGGTGCATAGAAATGACTGTGGGAACAGAGGAAAAACAGGCTTTCGCACCGGAAGTGCATGTGATAGGGATTGATGAGCTGATGGCCAAATGGGAGTTTCGGGGGTGGGGGATGGAGGGGTGGCGTTCATCAACTGCTGTCCTATCAAGGAAACAAAAGGCAGTCTAGATTTTGAACTGAGAAGAATTTAATTTAGATGTTAGCTACAGTATTTTTTTTTTTAACAATAACTATCACAGCACGAAGGGTGTTACCAAGAGATGAAAAGCACGTGCTGTCTCTGAGGTTAGAACTTGAGATGAAACTATCTGATTTTTTTACTAGAAGACAGACTTACTTTGTTGATTTATTATTTATGCTACAACACTAACAGTAGGGACACATGACTGGGGAGCCATAAGTTACTCCCTGCAGAAATGTCAACAGAAATATATAGCAGGCTTCTTGCTTCCTCCGGCCTTTGGCTCCATGGAGAAACTACCCTGGAAGATCCTGTCTGGGACTTGACTGGCAAAAGTCAAGTATGATGGAGTTCATCAGTTTTCAGGTTCAGTGGGACAAAGAATATGGAGTGCCCGAGGCACATGTTTGGCACAGAGTTTGAGGAAAGTCAGGGTGTGCCCATGGCTTCTCACTGTGCCAGAGAAAGGGATGCGAGAGGCCATCCTTGGGGTTTGCAAGCAATGTTATGCATCTTCATTTTATGGTCATGTCAAGATCATCTCGTGGCTCAAAGTGATAGAACATAGTATCTGGTCTCAAAAAATATTGCAATTCCTGATGGGCCAATGCCCCATTATGAGTTTTCCTTGCACCCCGGTTTCCACTGCTGTCATTAAATCATACGTTAAAGAGACTGTAGTCTCTGGGGGTATCTAGAGCATTTGCCAGCTTGTCTGTATGCTCTTAATGTCTAGCATGCAGTGAGCAGTACATGAACAGTAGCTGAGTCAAATCCACAAGCACAGCTTGCATGAATCTTGCTAGTGACAACAGACAAACTTGGAAAGCAAATCTGATGCAATTCAATAAGGCCCAGGGCTGCCCTGCTTGTCAAGCTTCGGTGTGATCAGGTAGACCCAGGGGTGACAGAATGGGGTAAGTGAGGAGGGATCCAAGATGCCTGATGGAGGCCTGCCTGCTTGTCATTTTCCTTGGAAACTCCTGCCCCCCGCTAAGGACAGGCTGTGAGGAGGGCAGCAGGCCTTGGGTATACAAGGCTGTGTCTCCCCTCCAAGACAGGGGGATTTTTCCATCTTCTGCGGGGCTATACCGAGACAGGAAGTCTTAGGCATGGAGACAATTATGGATATATAATAATAAAGATCATTTAGGAACTGATAATAAATGTTTCTTTTTAAAGCACTGAAATACAAAAGCCCTATGCTCCGCTGGAGGAAAAAGGCTTAATTAAAAGCAGAACCTTTCTAAAGGGCAATCAGACTCGGTATCCACATAAACCCCTACACTGGGCATAGGAGTCACCAGCACCCCCAAAGCCAATAATAAATGCACCCTGTAAAAGCAGGAATAAAATAAGCTCTGTCTGAGGTCTAAGCGAGGGGAGGGCCAGCCCCCGGGGCTGGGTAACTGTCCGGCCCTTGCCTCATTTAGGTCAATTACCTCAGAAGGAATTAGAAACTGACCCGGAGGTGATCTCTTGTGATTTAATGTGAAATACTAAGGCCGAAGGGGCTCGCTCAGGAGTGAGGGCTGAGGTGGGGGTAAGATCTAAGGCCTGAACACAGGCAATATTTGGGAGTCTCTGCTTTTGTCTTCCTGGGAGAGTCAGGGTGTCAGGATTTTCTGACTCACCCATAAAGGGGGCAGTAATCTCTCCCCATTGGCAGACTCTCTTGACCAGAACCAAAAAGTAAATTTAAGCCTGTATAGAGATACAAGGTCAGAAGGCTACTCTATGATTCAAGGTCAAGGAAGATAAGCAGAAATGGTTTTGGTTGTGAGTCTAACCTTTAATGGCTGAGCTATCTCTCCAGCCCAGAAATGCCCTCGTACAATGAACCATGCTGAAGCAGCAGCCACACCAGCCACATCATCATCCAGATGCTGCCGAGAACTGTCTTGGACCCCTCCAGACCTGCTCCAACAGAAGCACATCTGCATGAGACCTTCAGGTGGTCCACGAGCACGGGAACTTCCTGCAAGCTCACAGGGAGAGCAATTTCCCTTTAGAACCTGTAGAGTAATCACCCACTGCCAGGATGCCTGGACCTTCAGAGCAAACGCTGAGGCAGGGAAACGAGATGCTCCAAGCACAAGTGTTCACAAATGGTAGACAGGTTGGATGCTCAGGAAAGATGACAAAGCTGCCTAGAGAAGGAATTGCTGCCGATGGAGACACAGAGCGGTCCCCTACCCTCCGGGAAGCAAAGGGACAAAGCAGAGGAATTTATCTAGAGAGACAGTCTTGTGGAGCCACAAGCATAGGATCTGAGGCAGAGTGATCTAGGATGTACTGACAGGTTGCTGGCTGTTTTGCATTCTTGGCAAACTGCATCCTGTCTCTGTTTCTTAGTTTCCAGCATGGGGGCTGCTGAAAGACATTGTAAGAGTTAAGATGACACACAGGAGAAAGGTGTTCAGTCCAGAGCAACCGCTCTGGAAGTAGCAGCCGCTATGACTCCCCAGGGATTAGTGAAACATTGTGCCTTCAGGAACCTCACCGAGCTGTGGGTGGGATGCACTCTGTGGATAGCTGTTCTTGCTGCCTGGGAGGGATGAGGACTGAAGAGCTGGCCATGGCCACTTTGATGGTGGCTGCTGTAGTTACTGTTACTGTCATTACTTGGATGGAGTCCAAAGATCATCTTCACCCAGATCTTCCTCGAGCATTCTTAAGACTCCCTTACTAAAACCACACAGATGCCATTCACAGGCAAAGCCACTGCCTGCACGCACATGCTCACATACACATATGCACACATATTCACACATGCACACACAACGCATGTACACACACTACACACACACACACACTTGAACTTTAGATTCCTGGCAAGATATTAAAATGATCTTAAGGAGTTGAGGCCTGGGAGCAAGATATAACACACTTCTGGGAAGGCACCTTTTTGTGGCACCTACATAGTGAACCCAGTTGCTCCAGGACCGGTCATCAAATGAGCAAAACGCTAAGGGGAGGCTTGTAGTCAGACTTTTCTTTTCTGCCCCGTAGTTCCCAAATAACCAACAGGGAGACTTAATATTAATTATGGATAAATGCTTAGTCAATAGCTCAGGCTTGTTACTAAATAGCTCTTACAATTTCAGTTAATCCATTTCTCCTAATGCATATTCTGCCAGCTGGCGCTACCTCTCTTTCACCTTGTACCTTCTGTTTCCTCTTCCTGTCTCACTGGCGACTCCTCTGACTCCTCCATTCTTCTTCCCAGTGGCTTTAGCTTGGTTCTCTAGCCTAAGCTTATCCGTTCCAGCTATTGGCCAGTCAGCTTCTTTACCAACCCAATTAACCGTGGCACACATTCAAACAGAGCAAAGGAATATTCCACAGAGGAAAGCTACATGCTGCTTCCCAAGAAGAATGCCACTGCCCCAACACTGGCTTGTTTGTGGGGATGGTACCAGGCCGGAAGTTGTTTTAGAAAAATCCTACAGATTGCTAGCCAGATGTGATGACATATACCCATGATCTCAGCACTCAGGATGTTGAGGCAGGGGCATCGCAAGTTTAAGACCTTTGTAGCTACATATCTAAACTGTCTTCAAGGAAATCCCTGTCAAAAAAGGCTATATCCAGAGAAGCCACCAGAGCCATCTGAATCTCTTCCCTGGGGTGCCTTCCTTCCCATAGCTCATCCCATGTAAGCACAGCAAATGTCAGAGAGAAGGCGGCTGGAGTTTCTGTGGGCACAAGCAAGGGCAGGCTAGGAGAGGCGAAAGGACACGGCAGGAGCTACCCCTCAAGGTGCAGCCGCAGCCAGGCCTCAGCTTGTGGCACTCCATGGGGCTGTGCTGAATGTCTCCACTACCCACCACAATGCTGGAAACACTACAGGACCCTATTGCATGTTTTAAGAAATGGTGGGCAGATTCCCAAAAGAGACCCTATTACCAAGCAGAAAATCTCGACATTGTCCTTAGGAGAAAGTATGAAAAGGTACTCAGCTGCACTGCCACATCTGCCTATCTCCAGCCAAGGTCACTTGGGGCAGACACCTGTGACTCCTCCCACAGCTCACATCTGGACATAATAGACTTACTGATGATGTTTGAATTAATAGCCCCAGCTACCCTTAACTAAGCACAAGGCTCCCCATTCTGAAATAGACACACATTTTGTGTTCTTTAGACATCACTAGGCCTCCATGTAACATAGCTGTTGTCCACATGTTGAGGTCAAAGACTGAAGACAACGTGAAGGGCAGGCAGGCTGGTCCCACTCACATCTACCAGCTCGAAGTAGTTTCTTACCTATGCATGGGGCATCTTGTGAGACAGGTGGTCATTGCTGGGTCGCTAACCATCCTGCACTCAACCTCCACGAAACACAAGTCAAGTCCCCATAGAATGCAGGCTGCCATCAGATTTCCCATGCAGGTGGCCTCCCTAGGACAGGGTGTCCTGATGGATGGAGTCAGCGGGGCAGTGGGGAACGACCTTTGCACTCCTCACCTCCCGTTTACTCAGCTGTCTGTATATTGCGCAAAGCACTTGTTGGCATTTGGGAGGTGTTGTGGCTGAGGGGAGGATGAAGTGTGAGAATGGGCTGTGGACTGTGGTACGTTAGCAAGAAAGGCTGGGGGACAAATGGGTACTGCCTTCAAGGGCCATACCGTCTGTAAGGAAAGAGACAAACCATCTTATCTGTGGGAATAATTGGCAGAGAAGATAAAGCACTGAACAGAAAAATGAAAAAACAAATCTTTTGAAGTAGAATCTCATGCATCCCATCTTGGCCTCAAATTCCCCATGTAACTCAGGGTGACTTTGAACTTCTTATCTCCCCCATTCCCTTTCTATTCCTTTGCCTCTACCTCCTACATGCTGGGATTACAGACGAATACTATGTAAGGTTTATACAGTGCTGGGGATTGAACCTAGGGCTTCATGCACAGTAGGCAGGCACTCTACCAATTGAACTACATTCCCATTTCAAGGAGAGTGAGATTTTTAAGTAAATTTCTCAAGAGCTAAAAGCTGGAGCTTAGGATGCAAAGTCAGATTTTGGCAGGTGCAAAGTGGAGGATGCAAAAAGTAGCATTGGAGCTGAACAGCCTGGTGCTGTCTAAGGCCGTGAACACCATAGGTTATGAGGTACATACCCTGCACAGGCCGGACCCAGCCTGGAGAGTTCTTTAGCTCTCTTTTCTCTTCTGGGCTACCTATTTGCTATTAATTAGATCATAGCTGAACCTCAGTGGAAGAGGAATCTCCAAAATAGATGGAAAAACATAAAAGCATAAATGCCAGGCACGTATCATTAGTGAGGCCATTTATTTTTTCTCTCTGAACCCATGGCAGACATTAATAGACAATGGTATTTCCTTAGAGCTCTTTCAAGCCAGGATTTCCCCACCTATTGCTAACACATTAGAATCCATAGGTGGAATGTGTCCTGTTTTCCCGCCTGTGTCAGTACGCAGGGCACCTGCCTGGGAGTCCCCAGACATCAGATGATACAGTTTCAGTCCCAACTTTTCTGTTTCTTGGCTGCTTTCCTTGGGACATCTGTCCCCCCTGAGCTGTTGCTTAGCCATCTCTAGATGAGAAGGGAAGGGCCAGTGTTTCCAAGATGCTCTAACAGAGCCCATGCTACATCTTTTTCATCTCTCCTTGGCTTTGGAGAAAAGGAGCCTTTCCCGAGGGCGATCGGCTGTGCCTTGTGACTGTGCTGGCAGCAGAATATAGACGGAAGGGGAGAGAGCTTCCTGCTTCATCCTGACCACCACACCCTTTCAGGGTTCTACCCATCTCTGCAGTGGGTTCCACAGAGGCCTCAGGACGTGGGTGAGTGAAGCGATGGGGATGGTCAGACCTTTCAGTCAACACCAGGAAGCCTGTGGCATTCACACTGGGAATTCACCTGAAGGAAAACCAGCTTCTGCCTAGAGACATCAGGAGCATTCGGTATTTGTCAAGTAGCCACCATCACCTGATCATCAATACAACCTTAAACTTGTGATGTAATGTCTTCTTGCCCCTTGCAGGAAGGTCCTGTCCCTTACAGGAAAGTCCAACTCTCACCCATCTGCAGCTCCAATAATAATAATAATAATAATAATAATAATAATAACAATAATAATAATAGGAGAAGTTTGGTGGCTTTATTATGGCTCCATTTTTATGGCATGAAGTTCCTTTTGCACCAAAGTCCTTCATCCTTATAGAGCCTCCCAGTTTGGGGAAAGCCTATGTAGCATGCAAAAGCTTGAGCAGGGATTTAAAGGCTCACTGAGCTCTTGAAAGTGAACAAATTTTCAAACACTGGGGAAATCCACAGAGGTTGGCCATGCTAAGTTAGGCTGTGACAGGACCAGGCAGAGAATTTGCTTTCTGCAGAAGCACTGCATTTAGCTGTCTCCACAGCAAATCGCACAGAGGGTCAGGGATGGCCTGCCATGCTCTCTGGGAGGAAAATCTGGACTCCTGGTGGGCTGAGAGGATGGCAGGACACGGAGCGGGAGCCACAGCTATGGTGGCGCCCAATGAATAATTACACTTTCAAATGTCAGCCCAGACTACAGACTCTGCTTGCTCAAGGATCTTTATTACAAACAGTGCACGTTCCATGCATCATGGGAGATCGTTAGGGATATATCGTTTTGGCAAATTATCATAGGCAAAAGGCCTCTTTAAGTATCAGACACTCGGCCTTACCCTGTGGAACCAGTCTTGAGTTTAGAAAGCACAAGGGGCCTTATGTGAGAAAGAACCAGTTCTCTCCTGTTCTCTGAAGCTAGCTCAGACAGCACCTGTTTCCGTGGGAACAAGGAAGAGACTTCCAGACCTCAGAAGGAATTCTAGCTGCTGGATTTTCCTCCCAGTTTGCAGACAAGGCCGTGCAGGGAGCTGTGTGCATAAGGCCCCCAGTTTCACAGGACCAAGAAGGGAACCTTGTCATCAAGGTCTCAAGGTGATCATAGTTTGGAGAACAAGATGCCATGCTAAGACGCTCAGAGATGCGGAGAGTTTGCTGACAGGGGAGCTTTGCCTGCTTTAAAGACCTGTGTCACAGCCACCCTTGTACCACAAGGATGACGCGACCACAAGAGCTCTTCTCACTGCAGTTTATTCCAGGACTTTATTCACTTTCTCTCTCTCCTTTTCCTCTCTCCTCTCTCCTCCCTCTCTCCTCTCTTACTCCCTCTCTCTTGGGCAAACCTCTCCCAGCCCTTAAGTAGGCATGGGTTGCCAATCCCGGATTGCCAGGTGGGCATTGCCCATAGGCCCACGCATATGCAAGCAGCTGATGATCATTGCGTGATCATAGCATAGGTCAGGCCTTAGCCATCTCAGGAGTTGATTATACATCTCCATCAGGTGTGACTCCATGTAGCTCGCTACAGACCTGGAGAGCTGACCTCACATCTTAGTGTCCGGGTGTCGTCAACCAAAATGACAAAGGAAAGATGGCTGTGCTGGGAAAGGTGCTTGCTGGCAAGTCGAGTTCAGTTCTTTAGATCCACATAGTGGGAAAGCAATGAATTCTCAACTGTGGGGCTTTGCCCTGTCTTCTGTAATCTTAAACTCTTCCCTAAGTCCCTGCCTCTAGGCTACATGGCAGGATCCACCTTCAATGGCGTCACCATGCGGATGGAACCAGCTTGAGTTTTGGAGGGCCACACGCAGACCACACTCTTTTTTTCTCTATGTTCTTTTTAAGTCTTTCCTAGGATTTTAAAATTGGATTTATTTATTTTTAGTATAGGGGTGTTTTGCCTTCATGCATGCTCCATGTGTGTGCCTGGTGCCTACCGAGTCCAGAAGAGGGTGCCTGGTTCCCTGGAACAAGAGTTGTGGATGGTGTCAGCCACCATGTGGGTGCTGGGAACAGAACTCTGTAAGAGCAACAAATGCTCTTATCTGCTGAGCCATCTCTCCAGCCCTTCTTACTCTTTGGGTGTGTGAAGTAGTGAGCTCCCGTCATGCAACTTTTCCAACCATGAATTTGTGCCGGTCTGATTTTATGTGCCCTCCCACTTTTTCTGTTCCCTACCAATCTGAACAAATCCCAAGCACATGGAACTGCATCCCCACTGACTAAATGCACGGCTCTCAAACATCTGCACTCCTTAAATGCATACTCAATTACCATCGCAAGAATGAGAGTTCACAATAATTTAAATATCATCTAATATACAATCAGTGACCCTAGTCCTATTATCTTAAAAATATATCACAAAGTAAATATCTTCCAATTAGGATCCATGGTCCCATGCTGCATGTCTCTGTTCTTATGACATTTAAAATGCCCCTGATTTTTAACACACAACTCCTTTGTGGGGGGAGCCGTGTGGTCCACCTTATGTTTTCCACAGTTTGAGTTTCATCATGTGCGTCTGTGGTTATATCACAAAACTATCTGTGGTTTTCCTGGGTAGTTAGTTCTAACAGCTTCAACAGACTGAAATTATTGAAGCTTTTTTTTTAAATCAAGATTTCATCCTCAGAAGTGAGCGATTCTTCTAATAAGAAGCACCTAAAATTGAATGCCTTTCCTTTCTGTTGTCTTAGAAACCTGTGACGATGGTTGCCTGTCCCCGTTTCCTCACTGGGGACCAAGGATGCTGCGGCTCTGGTTCCATCTTTCTTTGCTCATTCTAACTGAACTATCTGTGCAGGGAAGCTCCTTGCACTGTAGATGCGTGGTCACTTTGGCGATGCTTTACAGGTGGATGGCAGGAACACTGTTCCTTGTCCTTTCATGTTGTTTTTCAAAAGACATTGTTTCCCCCCATAACCAAAGATGAGCACAGGGGCCGTTACTCTTGTTCCTCTGCTTGTCTGCCATTATGAACCTGTGGATTCTGATGTGCATGCCATGTTTCCATCTGTTTCATGTCTTAGATCTTCCGCACTACAGTGGTCCCGGTTTTGATTTACAGTCATTTTGTGAGTGGCTTCTGATACCCCCTTTACCGGCCTTCAGTTTATTGTGTAACTGAGGATAACCTTGAGCTTGTGATTTTCCTACTTGATTTCTTAGTATGTATGTCCCCGCGTGTACCAGGCACGTACCAGAACACCAGGCATAGGCAGTGCTGAAGACTGAACCCAGTCCCGAGTCATTTGGCAACAACTCCCACAGTCTTTTGCCCATCCCTTGCTTCTGGACTAACAAGCTTTCCTACTCAAGTCTTGTACATTGTCCCCACACCTTGAATGTGACATTTCTCCAGAAAGCATTGGTATTTGCAGACTATACTCAATGTGCTAGAGATGTGTGCCACTTTGCTTCTTCCTAGAATAAATAGTGATGTGCAAATTTCAGGCTGAAGCTCTGTTCTGCTTAGGTTTAGCCTTCGCTGAGTTGAAGCAAGAAAGAGATGCCTGAGTTCTGTTCCCAGGCAACTGAGTGACCATGCTTTGACTTCTTCATCCC